TGCATGCTCTCTTCACACGCGAGAGCGGTTATAACAAACGTTTGTTGTAATGTTTTTAAAATAGGCCATTACATTTGTCTTTTTTCTTGTAAACGTTGATACGCTTTGCACCGATTCACTTGTTACTACGCGTCATGTTTATAAGATTTTTAAAAGAAACAGTTTGTCTAGGACTGGCCCAAATATTAGCAAATGTAAACATTTGATAATAGCCGAACAGAGAAATGTCCATAAGCATAGAGGAAATTTCAGTCATTGATTTATCTGGATTTACTACATAAATTCGTATTCGGTAATTATAGTAAGACTTCAGCCTTTTTCTTGGTCTCTATTAATCATTATATTGTGCTAATATACTATAATCTATATCACAAATTTACAGTGTCAGATGCGCACAGACCGTCATTTGGCGTCATACGAATAGACATAAATTTTCGAGGTTTCTACTTCTACTAACATTTTTAAAGTTTTCATTGTGAATCACCTGTTTATCTCTAATTCATTAATCATTTGCTACTTATATTTATTTGATAGTGTCAATGTCATATAGTGAATAATACGTTTACACACAAGCAATCCTGGATATGATATAGACGATGCAAGCTGTCCATTAAAAAATAACGGTATTCTATTTCACAAAGCAAAAATTTAAATCTCACTTGTATATATTAAGAATGCATATAAAGCAAAAAATTAAAGCTTATTCATGTCAAAACGAAAGCTGTTTAACAAAATTTATAAAGGTGGTGAACACTACTAAAAAGTGCTCATTGAAAGACATGTATAATATAGTGACATATAATTTGCCGTTTGACTTATCTTTGGTGTATGATTTTAATACCGTAGATTTTCAACAGACAGCTATACTTTGACATATACCATAATCGTTGGATTCAGCAATGCCAAGGGCCAATTTTATAGTCTTTTGACGGGCTTTAAGTTTTTTGATAAGGCCTTTATATAGATCAACAATCTGGATACAGTTGGCGATATTTCGGAAATCAAAAGATCTCGCTATTTCGTTGCAATTCCACATCTCATCAATAAATAAATTCTTTTGGTCCGAGTATCAGGATAAACTTTAATACTAAATAAATAACAACCACACTGTTCGGTCTAGAGATATATATTTTCTTGTAGGTTTAATCACAGTTTAATATTGCCACGCTACACAAGCGGCAAGCGTGCTTTCTTTGGCAAGTCTGTAATGAAATCTGATCCAACTTGCTTGAATTGTAACTCGACACCAGATTATAGAGTAGAACGTCACGATATAAATATTAATTCAAGAGTTCTCTTTATAATTACGATTTCTTGTTGCAAATTTACAGTAAATTTCATCACCCAAAGTTGCAATTTTAAAACGCTACAAACACGCTCCTTTCCCACCCCTCTCACAGTTACAATTAAATTTACCTCCCAGAATCTGGGAGGCACGTGACCAGCCGCAGCCAGGGTCTCTCCCAGATGACAGACGGAGAGACCCTGGGAACGAGGTTGGTCTATTTATTGTTCTGTTGCGTGTTTTTTTTTGGCAAAGTTAAATTTAATAAATAAATAAATACTTAGAGCTTATCCCCGGTTCATTATCGTAATAGATTAATCGTCGTCAGCGACACTCGATTAACATCGATCAATCTAAATGAATAAATCTAAACACGACCACAGTGGTTCATGTCGCTTCCAAAAAGGGGGCATGTTTTAAAGTTTTTATATTTGACAGCCAGTGAAAGCACTAGTGGTAGCAGAGAAATAAAATGAGACGTGTTTGTCATTTGAACACACTGAGAGTGCTCCTCATGATTTTTTCAATCGGGAAACAAAGTTATCCATGCAGGTATCATGGTATGCACGGCTTGTTGCTTCGATTATCATTAAGAATAATCGATTGCCAAAAAAAACACAAAAACAATCGATTAATCGGGCGTAGAACATACCAATTGTCCAATATTCTGAAACAGAATCTTAAGTAATTTTCTGTATTCTAGAAACATTGCCTCATCTTCACCCTAAACAAAACGACATTCTAATCAGAGCCAGACTTTGGTATAAATACTGAGGTGGGAATGTGGCGAGGGGAGGTGGCGATGGTCTGGGTTTAAGACATGTTCCCCTAGATTCAATAACATTACTGTATGCACGTAATGTAATGTATACATACCTATCAATATTGTATTTATGAATGGACCTTTCCCCTTATAACGAAAATTTCGATCTAGACAAAAATTTCATCACAGCTTGAAAGAGCATCACAAAATTAGTAATATTCCAAAGTTTTGTTGCAAAATCTTGTAAAATGCGGATAATATAGCCTTGCGAAGTTTGCCGTTTTTCAGTCATTTTATATTACAAACGGGAAATTGACATACGATTCGGGTGTTGGGGCTGCAATTTCCCGTTTGTAATGCAAAATGACTGAAAATTGCAAATTTCGCAAGGCTCTATTTTGCTCATTTTACAACATTTCGCAACGAAACTTTGGAATATTACTAATTTTGTGATGCTCTTTCAAGCTGTGATGAAATATTTGTCTAGACTTGCCTAGATCAAAATTTTGGTTATAAGGGGAAAGGTCTATTATGACTGTATGACTATATAAATTTTGGTGATTCGAAGGAGTAATTCATACATTATACAGCTCACTCCAAATTGGGGCTTTTCAGTGACCGAACACATCAAGTAATTGTAATGGTAATTGACCATTTGCGTAATAGACTAAATTTTGAACTAAACAAGTCTAGACAAAAATTTCATCACAGCTTGAAGGAGCATTAGTGATATTCCAAAGTTTCGTTGCAAAATGTTGTAAAATGCGGAAAATATAGCCTTGCGAAATTTGCAATTTTCAGTCATTTTAGATTACAAACGGGAAATTGACAGCCCCAAACCCTTCGAGGCTGTCAATTTCCGGTTTGTAATCTAAAATGACTGAAAATTGCAAATTTCGCAAGGCTATATTTTCCGCATTTTACAACATTTTGCAACGAAACTTTGGAATATTACTAATTTTGTGATGCTCTTTCAAGCTGTAATGAAATTTTTGTTGAGATCAAGATTTAGTCTATTACGCAAATGGTCAATTAACACACAGATTACTGATTATCAAATTTGACTGTTAAGTTTTAAATGTTAAATGAATTTTCAGGGGAGGCGCAACATTTCTCAGGCAAGGGGCAAAACAATCTCAGGTAAGGTAACGAAACTCTTCAATACCGCCATGATTCCAATTACATATTAAATATATGCATTGTGCTATTGCTAATCATAGAAATATACTGTTTAGAAATAGTGTACACATCTAACCTCTTGATCAAAGTCATAAGATTCATCATATTTCATTTTCTTTATCACGGTAAGCAGCAAGCCCTGGTTATAGGAATAAACAGTTTGAATTATGCATGAATATATGAAATAAGAAAATAAAGCATATATCGAATGTTTTTGAGTAGCTTCAAACATAATTTACTAATTGTTACATTTTAACACCACCGACGACACACACCTTAATATTCCTTTCCTGTGCTGATGACATGTTAGGTAGCTGTTTAAAATGGAAAAAGATTAGTGGAAGATTTTTGATAACAATTCATGAGAAAGATTTTTGATAAAAGTGGACCTTTCCCCTTATAACTAAAATTTTGATCTAGACAAGTCTAGACAAAAATTTCATCACAGCGTGAAAGAGCATCACAAAATTAGTAATATTCCGAAGTTTCGTTGCAAAATGTTGTAAAATGCGGATAATATAGCCCTGCGAAATTTGCAATTTTCAGTCATTTTGTATTACAGACGGGAAATTGATGCCCCAACACCCGATTGGGCTGTCAATTTCCCATGCGTAATACAAAATGACTGAAAAACGGCAAACTTCGCAAGGCTATATTATCCGCATTTTACAACATTTCACAACGAAACTTTGGAATATTACTAAGTTTGTGATGCTCTTTCAAGCTATGAAATTTTTGTCTAGATCAAAATTTTAGTTATAAGGGGAAAGGTCCATTCAACACAATAATGATGACTGCATGATGGGAGTAGCGAAACCACTAGTTCTATTGTACCATTTGTAAGTATCGTGACTCATCTCGAAAACATTCCTTGTGGGTGATAGGAAACCAGAAACCTTGTGAGAACAAATGATACTGTTAACAATTATTGAATGAGGTTGAATCGAATTCAATAATTGCTTTATTGTTTATCCCAAATGAATGACCACTTCTTTTCCCATTTGCAGAAAATATTTCCTTTTTTCTTCCACAAGTACGTTAAAATGTCTCAATAGCTGTTTTCATTGATAGTTCTTCTTTATATTCTAAGACTTTGTCTGATATATTGTTTTGGTCGTTTTTCACTTCGGATTCGTATTTTCACAGCATGACATCATAACATTGAATATATTTTTTCATATCCAACGTTATGTCACCCCGTTGAATATTCAATGTTATGACGTCAGAAAAAAAGAGAAACAAATTCTACTCCTAAAATGTGGAAATGTATACAGTACCTGTTTTAGCAAAGTGATATAATCCCTCGCAAAACTATGAACACTTTGAGATATATCATCATCTTCATTACCAAGAAATCTAAACAACATATAACCAATCGTTTTCATGCAGATGCCTCCATATCTCCGATTAATAAGCACATCGACAGTATCGTTCTGCCAAATACCACGTCTAAGAATCTATGCAGTACAAATAGGAAAGCCGTACCCAAACATGTAGTTGAGTTTATTTTCAGTAATGCTTAGAGTCTTGGATGCTTCTTCCGTACTTCCAGCTTTTGTAAGTCTACAAAGTCATACGCAAAGGATATTATTTATTTATGTCTGTACTGTGACAACAGTATGAGAACACTCTAAAAACACTGCATGTGATATAAACTCGAACGGTCTGTGTCAGAGTATAGGCAGTGACTATAACACCAGAAAGCTACCTTGAAGAAAAGAATTGAAGGCGTGCAACGACGTGCTTCGTTGTGGATTTTAAGACTTAAACGAGGGGACTTAGCTTACGTGGATCGCTTAAAGAAACTAGATCTCCTGCCACTTTCTTATGATAGAGAGATCAAAGATTTGACTTTTTATTATAAACGTAGATATGGTCTAATTGACCTCGATACAAATATTTTTACACCTTTTGTCAGTAGTAGAACAAGACGGGGGTCGTCAATGTATTTACAGACACCTTTTTGCAAAACTAGTACTTTTAAAACGTCGTACTTCAATAGAATTGTCCATCTATGGAACTTAATCCTCAAGTTAGCTCCATCTTGTATATTTGCAACTCTCAGTAGTTTCAAAACATTCTTGTACAAGACTTATAATGAACTTTTGACAACAACATTCGATCCATATTTACCCTGCACCTATTCATTGTGTAGGACGTGTCCTTGTCATTCCTAATTTTATCTATTTTAAATGCTTGTATATAATAGTTATTATAGTTACGCTAGTAGTTTGTAAAGTTTAGTCAGGCTGACACCTTGCATGGGACCTCGTCCCGTTCGTGTCAAGCCTTATTTAGTATGTGTGGTACTGAATTAAAGTTGTTAAACCAAACTAAACCTAACTTCAAGACGAAGGGCCTTCGCCCGAAACGTCAACGTTTTGCTTGTATTTTTCAGTTAGCTGAATCCCTGTCAATTCGCAATTTTCTGGTAGAAACACTGTGATGAAAGAAATCTTAACAAGATAGAGATTCAGATTTGACTTTCACTGCCGCTGCCATTAAGCGACCATTAACCAATCAGATATGTTTGATAGATCCGATTAACCAATCATATGTGTACTAAGCCAGTGAGAACAAAGTGCACCATGAAACAGTATGACAATACATATATGAAGTTGAAGTTGGTCGCTACAACAATATCTCATATGAGGAGAGAATTTGTAGCCACTGTGACTTGAATGAGGTTGGTAATGAACAACACTATTTAATGCAATGTGCCAATACAAAATTCACAGTGATTAGAACGAACTTCATTACCAATCTTTTTCAAATTAACTATTCTTTTAGATTTTTTAATAACCATGATCTTTTCATATATATTATGTCAATGAAAGACAAATCCATAAATTCACTAGTTGCTAAATTCTGTTATATTTTAAAAACATTTGACCAATTGTAAGTTTGTATCTTAAGCTCATTTTCCATATACCGTAATCAGTTTATTTGTTTGTAATTCGACATATCAGTAATGGTATTTTTGTATGAATAAAGTTATTATTATATGAATTAGACTAAAAAGAAATATCTTGTATTTACTTTGACCAGCAAATGATGAGTTGAGTTCCAGCTGTGTTGATAAGCTTAGCAAGTTTGGCTTGAAAGTCGCTATCGTCTGTCTAAAAATAGCAAGTACATTTTAACACCGTGGGTCAAGCATTGGGAAAAAAAAGTTATCCATGCTTTTAGTCCTTTACGGCCAAGTGCACACTTTGGCATTCAGTAGCCTGTGTATACAGCCGTTACTCTCGACGAAGAGCTCGAGACAGCGTCTGTGAGTTGGATGCATAATCCTTGTTCAGGTCACGTGGATAGTTCCCAGATTTGGGGACCGGCCTCTGATTGGACAGTGCTTTATTTGAATAATTTATGACAAATGAAGCTATTTCATTGGTTAATTGATAATTAGCATGCGTTTAAAATAACAACACAAAAATTTTAAAATTCCATGTCAAGAATCAAGATTTCCTTCGGGGCATACAAAGGTTTGAAAGACTAGAAATATAATCTGTTGAGTTTAATTTTGTGCTGTGTCGAAGTTTAAGAAAATCAAGATAAAATTCTAGTGTTTGGAGACTCAGCGAACAATGCTGACAAATATATAAAATACAACAAACTATCGGACGGAAATTGACAATTTATAATTGACAATTTAATAAATCGACAATCTGTTTATATGTCCCGACTCCTCGCGATAAAGCATTTTCTTTACATGTAATGTGTTTAACTTCGTCTTACTTGGCCAGTTAACTTTTAATTA